AGAGGCAGAGACAAGGAAAGAAAGAAATCTTCCAGGGGCCGGCGCTGTGGCTCACTTGATTAATCCTCCGCCTGCGGCACCGGTATCCCATATGGGCACCGGGTTCTAGTCCTGGTTGCACCTCTTCCAGTCCCAGGAGGGCAGTGGAGGATGGCCTGAGTTCTTGGGCCCCTGCACCCCCATGGGAGACCAGGAAGAGCCACTTGGCTCCTGGCTTCGGATCAGCATAGCACCGGCCATCGTGGCCATTTGGGGAGTGAACCAACGGAAGGAAGACCTTTCTCTCTGTCTCTCTCTCTCTCTCTCACTGTCTATAACTCTACCTGTCAAATAAATTAAAGAAAGAGCAAGAGAGCAAGAGAGCGAGAGAGTGAGAGAGCGAGGAAGGAAGGAAGGAAGGAAGGAAGGAAGGAAGGAAGGAAGGAAGGAAGGAAGATTGGTTGGTTGGTTCCATTCCAAGCCAGGAGCCAGGAACTCCATCCAGGTCTCCCACGTGGGTAGTAGAGACCCAAGTATTTGGGCTATCATCCACTGCCTTCCCAGGTGCATTAGTAGGAAGCGGGATAGGAATCGTAGTAGCTAGGACTTGAACAAGGTGCTACAATATGCGATATGGGCAGCTTAAGCCACTGTGCCACAACGCCCTCCCCTGCCACTCATTTTTGTAACTCAAGTTTCACTGGAATAGAGACACATGTATTTATATAAGGTCTATGGCTGTTTTCATACTGCAACAGAATTGAGCAGCTGTGACAGAGATTTTATGGCCTAAAAAGCCCAAAACATTTCCTATGTGGCTCTTTACAGACAGGCTGTGTCGACCCCGGCATCAGATAGAGACTCTGAGGCAATGAGGTGATAAACAGAAGGCATTGCAATGCTGCCTGTTCAGATAGGACATGCTCCATAATGCAAGTTATCACTATTGCTGTAGAGAGGAGAGCCACAGCCCTCCCCCTCCAGGATGCCCTCTCCGTGGGGCCCCCCGTTCAGCAACCCCAACTCACCGTGCCAATAGTTGCAGATGGAGAATTCCTGGCCCCAGGGGCTATAGCAGATCCGGTAGAGGTTGGACCGCATGGAGGTGGGAAAGAGCCACTTCAGATAGTCTGTGTCTGGCAAAAGAGCAGCGGCAGTGCCAAGTGGCCACCAACCTTGTGCCCGCCAAGCTCAAGGCCTTCAGTGAAGCCCACAGTGCCCACTCACCTCCATACTGTCCCATTTGTGGTGAGGAAAGGGAGATGAAAGAATCCACATTGTGATCGTCCATGACAGAGAGCAGGGCCCGGCACACGAGGCCCCCTGTAGGAAGAACACCAAGGCTGGGCAGGGTCTTAAGGGCAGCCAGGACGAGAGACTGCAGCCCTACTCTTCCCCCCTCCACAATGCACATAAAGGAGACTATGAGAAGGCAGATACACCCTGACCCAAAAGGTCACACGCCCTGTGGCACAGCCAGAATAGGTTCCAGGCTGCCTGATGCTAACTCTGGGATGCTTCTACACACCCCATAGCCCTCAAGTCCAAGAACCAAGAGTTACGCAGGAAGAAGGAGCCTCCCTCCCATACAAGAGCCTGAGACGAGCCCAACGCTAAAAAAGTCAGAAAGGAAAGGCCCAGGTGACAGGGCTCTCTCTGGGCGGTGTGGCGCAGAAGAGGGGACACCTGGCAGCTTTTCCCACGCAAGGATGAAACAGACAGGGCTCAGGAGTCGGGGGAGGGGTTGCCTACCCTGAGAGTAGCAGATGAGATGCACCCCTTCAGGGGCCTTTGCCATGATGGGGACCACAGCCTCTCGGAACCCTTGCACCTGTTCCCACAGGGGCCGCAAGCTCTCTCTCCCATCGAAGAGATCTAGCACTGTCACCACAGTCCCAGGGTGTGTCTGTGAGGAGGGGGCAATGCAGCCGCCGCGGAAGGGCTGTGAGTGTCCCCCCTCCCCCTTCCCAGCAACCGCAGGCCGACGGTGCCCTGCTGGAACCAGGCCTTCCCGGCCCCCGGCAGGGAACCGGGCAGGCCCAGAGGAGCGGCGTTCAGCTCTTCCCCCGCCCTCCCCCTCCCCAGTCTCTGTGGACACCCTCAATGCCCTCCACCCCGCGTCCCCGACAGACCTCGTTGATGTATTCCAGCAGGTGGCGGAAGCTGTACGAGCTGTCAAAGAGCCCGTGCACCACAATGACCGGCTTGTAGGCAGCGCGGTGCGGCGCGGGGGCTGCGGGCAGCAGCAGCGGCAGGAACGGCAACAGGAGCAGGACCCAGGCGCAGGGCAGCCGCTGCCCACCGAGCCCCAGCATGCTCCCGCCTGAGGAGGGGGGAGATGAGAGGCTGTGAGGGAGACAACGACTCCTCCCCGGCTCACAATAGACGCCTGGCCATCAAACCTTCCCTTCCTGCTCCCACAGCCGGTCCTTGTCACAAAATAACCTACTTCCCACAAACTCCAGTCCTTTCCCCACAAACACACCCCTCGGCCACGCAGATGCGCCCGTGAGCACCTCAAGTCCCGCCCCCAACTCGGCGCTCGGCGGGGAGGGGGGGGAGAGAGGCAGGGGGCAGGGTCCCCAGGCCCTGAAGCTTCCTAACGCATCACAGCAGCCTAGCACGAGCAGGGGTTCTGGACGACCCCCGCGCAGCAGCCTAGCCCCCTGGAGAGGGCACACGCCCACCTGGCCCGCTTCCGTAGGCCTCTGTCCTCCCGCTGTTTACTTCTCGATAGCCTGGAACCCGCGAGGAAGGCAAGGGGGTGTGAGAGGACAGCGCGCCGGGGAACGACGGGTGGGAGCGGCGAGGGCTGCTCGGGGTCGCGCAAAGCCGTCACGTCCGGGGCTTTCCCTGGCAACGGTGCCAGCGTCCCCCGTAACGCGGCCCGGGACCGGAGGGGCAGTGGAACGTTCCACTGCGCCCTAGGAGCGGGGGGGGGATAAGCGGAGCGATCCATTCAGGCCAGTGGGGAGAAGGAGAAGCAACGATTATCCTGGGCATCGAAAGAAAGCTTCTCGGGCCCCCGCGGCACCCAGAGACTCAAGGGCTCGGTTTCTCTGCCTTGCTTTGCCCCCACTTCCCAATTCAGAGGCCCGGCTCCGCAGCGGAACGCGAAGTTCCCTGTCCCCAAGGGACGCTGGGGGCAGACTGGGGACAGGGGGCCTGCGCCTTCTGCCGCCCGCCGGCTGAGTGAGCTGGCGGGGCGGCCAAGAGGGCTGACGGCAGCCCAGGCGTCCTCCGGGTGCCCGCGCGCCCGCCCCAGGTCAGCGCCTTACAGCTCTTCCTTGTGAAGTGCGTGTAGTGCCCTTGTCTCCCGAGACGCGGAGAGTCCTCAAGGCCCCTTGAGCTAAGTGCAGCCTGGCCCAGTTTCCCCGCCCTCACTCCACTAGACTCCCCTCCCCAAAGACGACCCACCCCCCAAGGGGCGGAGGGCCCCCAGGGCTGCGCTGACTCACGCCTGCGTGGTTCCGACAGATCCTTGAAACTGGGCGACCCCTACCAGCCGGGCCTCCCGGGGCAGCTCCGGGCCCTCCCACCCCGTCCGGACTTCGGGCGTCCACACCTGCTCTGCCTCTGTGCTCCCCCTGCCCGACACCCTAGCGTCGCGGCCAGAGCTTTATCTGTTAGGGCTTTTACTTAGTATCTGAAGACGCGTCCATTAGGAAAGGATTTCTCAGCAGGTCTGAGCTCCTCCTCCCTCCTGGCACACGCTTTCCTCCTGCTAAACTCGTCTCTCGCAATAAAACCGATCTGCGCTCGGGATTGTGTCAAGTGAGGAGGGGTTGGGGGAAGGGACCAGGGGCTCAAGCGAACGCCTGCAAAACCGGAATGACCGGTAAGAGGCTGGGATCTGAATCCCTGCGGTCCTGGTCCCGGTCCCGGTCGGGACTCGGTGCCGGTCTGCGGTCCCCGCCAGGACTGGAACAGCGACAGCGACTGCCTCTGGCGGGGACCGGGAAGTACCAGCCTTCAAGAGCAGAGAAAAGGGAGAAAGGGGGATAACAATATTTCTCTGGCTTTTTTTTTTTTTTTTTTTTTTTTTTTTGCAAAAAGACCAACTGGTGTGAATCTCGCTAGGCCGCCTGTCCTCAACCCCCTCCCCACCCACGCGCTTCCAAGACGCAAAAAGCAAATAAAAGACTGCAATAACCGGGTGCCTCGGGTCGCTCAGGAGGTGGAGCTGCGTGGGCAGCCGCGGTGGGTGGGGGCAGGGGACTTCGGAGAATGGATGTGAACACAGACGCCCCAGGAAGCCCAGGGCAGCTGGACAGGCAAGGTGGGCCGGGAAGCACAAACATGCTTTCCCCAACCTCGCTGCCATCCTTCCTCTCCCAAAGCTCCTTAACCCGGGAGGAAGATGTCTCTGCAACCTTCCAAGCTCACTCTTGCCTCTCCCCACACCCATCCCAACAGGCCTGACTATCCCCAATCATCTCACTTCACTGCAGGTGCACGCTGTACCTTAGAAACTTTTCAGACCACCTCAGCTGTCCACTTTGCCCAGTGCTCTCCCACACATTTATTTCTCCTAACAAGGAGAAAACTGCGACCAAGGATTTGAGAAAAGACCCTGCTGCCTTGCAGGGAGTTTCAAAGGGAAGCTGAGGGAGGGAAGACCCCGCTGGGTGAACCAGGTGAGGAACTGGGCTACTGAATTTGCTGCGCACCTGCTTGCTTCCTCCCGTAATGTAGTCACTATAGCGAGCCTTGGTGGGGAAGACTCTAGAGAGTTCTCTCTCCCTCCTTCCTTTAGTCCCACCCGCCTCGCCTGGTCTTGCCTCCCTGTTTCCATGACAACTCCAAGGGAGCCTAAACTGGGGGCTAGAATGCCAGGGTGAGAGGAGGAGAGAGGTGGTCCAAGTACAGAGAAACGGAGGAGACGAAGTGGGGGGAGACATCTGAAGCCCTCCCCCTCCCTTGCCTCGGTCCCTTTAAGCTCCCCCCCCCCTCCCCCCCCCCCCCCCCAGCCGCTGTCTTCATCTCTCCATCTCTGCGCTGCTGCCGGCTGCGCCATCCCAGACCCAGACTCTGGACCCGGCTGGGGTTCCTGACTCCAACAGCAGGGACCTTGTCCCAGCGACACCACAGGCATGTCATCGGAGAAGTCAGGTAAAAAACAATAACAAACCCTCCTGCTCCCTCTGTAATCTCCTGAACCTATCCCCCGGCTCCGACCCCCTCCCTTACCTGCCCCCCCCCACCTCGGGTGCTCTGTTCCATTTCTCTTCTCTCCAGCTCTCAACTCCCCCTGATTCCCCTCCCCATTCTTTCTCCCTCCCCTCCCTCCCTTCCCTTCCTCTTTCCAGTATCCTCCTGTGTCCCTTGCCAGTAACATGGGTGGGGGGCAGGTTGAGAGGGTGACGGAGGTACAATGTGGCTGTGGCTTAGCCTCAGCCAGGGACTGCAGGGATAGCATTCTTGGGAGTGACAGATGGACAGTCTCCGGCTCACATGGAGACATCCAGTGGAGAAATACGGAGAGACATGATCAGATTGGGGTTGGCAGAGGAGTCGAATACCCTAAGACCATGATCAGAGATTGCCAGAGAGCCCAGGGCAGCCCTCTACAGCAGGAATAGCCCAGAGGAACATGTCGTCCCATACGTGTTTATGCAACTGTTGAACACATGTCAACACGGCGTTCCGTGTCTGCACATGTGAACAAACAGGACCAGCTGCCATAAGCCACCCCAAGGATAGGAGCCGGGGTCTGATGGGAGCTGGGTGCTTATCGCTGAATGAAAAGAAGAGCAGAGCACAGGTGTGACCTCAAAACTAGATGGAAAGGAAGGGGGGAGCAGGTGGCCTAGATACAACCCCTCTCTGACCCCAGAATGAGCGATGGCTTCTCACTTCTCTGTGTGTGTGTCTCTCCCACCATCTTCCTCCGTCCCTGACTGCACCTCGCCTTACTCCTCATCTCTCCCCTGATCCTCTTGTCGGCTCACCGCTCCCAGGCCTTCCGGACTCAGTCCCTCACACTTCGCCGCCGCCATACAATGCCCCCCAACCCCCAGCCGAGCCCCCCGCCCCGCCCCCACAGGCAGCCCCCTCCTCGCACCATCACCACCACCACCACTACCACCAGTCTGGCACGGCCACCCTGCCGCGCTTAGGAGCAGGCGGCCTGGCCGCCTCTGCGGCCGCCGCGCAGCGCGGTCCCTCGTCCTCTGCCACGCTGCCCCGGCCCCCCCACCACGCCCCGCCCGGCCCAGCCGCCGGGGCGCCTCCACCCGGCAGCGCCACCTTGCCCCGCATGCCACCCGACCCTTACCTGCAGGAGACTCGCTTCGAGGGCCCACTTCCCCCGCCGCCACCCGCCGCTGCCGCCCCGCCCCCGCCGCCGCCAGCCCAGACCGCCCAGGCCCCCGGCTTCGTGGTGCCCACGCACGCGGGGGCGGTGGGCACGTTGCCGCTGGGGGGCTACGTCGCGCCCGGCTACCCTCTGCAACTGCAGCCCTGCACTGCTTACGTGCCGGTCTACCCGGTGGGTACGGTGAGTTGGGGCAGATGGGGGCGGGGGTAGGGGGCCTGGGAGGAGCCGGGCAGGTGGAACAAGACTTTGAAATTGGGGACGCACTGGCGGCAGGAGGGATAAACAGGGCCAGGGGACCAGGCGGTGTTCCAGGGACAAGACCCAAAGAGAAGGGAATCCGAGAGGGGCGGGACCAGGGACTGTTCCTGGAGGTGAGGGGCCTCCGGGTCTACTGGTGTCAAGTCAGGGCCTTGGAGGGGATAGAGCTTAGAGGGCCGGAGGAGTCTGGAAGAAGTTGAAGCGCCTGGCAGGAGAGAAATAAATGCACCCGAGAACCCCGGGGCGAGGTGGAGGTGCTGAGGGTGGGGACACCTGAGTCGATGAGGCAGAAGCACCCGGGACTGGGTGGGCAGGGAGAAATGAGAACTGAAGCGAGGTCAGAACAGTGCTGGTGAGGCCATAGCTTGGAGGGGGCAAGACCCCCAAGAATAAGGGGGTTGGTGACGCAGTGAAGGAAGGAGGGGGTCCTATGCAAAATATCTGGGTGTCCTGACAAGGTAGTAGAATGAGAAGTCCGGACTAAGGAATGGGCTTTCAAAACCACTATGCCAGCAATCCACCGTGGGGAGCTCTGGGAGGGTCGCAGTGACATCGCCCCCCCCCAACTTTCCTTCACAGCCCTATGCAGGCGGGACCCCGGGGGGAACTGGAGTGACCTCTACGCTACCCCCGCCTCCCCAGGGCCCAGGCCTGGCCCTCCTGGAGCCGAGGCGTCCGCCACACGACTACATGCCCATCGCGGTGCTGACCACCATCTGCTGCTTCTGGCCCACGGGCATCATCGCCATCTTCAAGGCAGTGCAGGTGGGGAGAGGGCAGCGGCTTGCTGGGCTTTTCTTAGTCCCAGGGAGTGCTGGGCGCTCTGGAGCTTATCTTGGGGGCGGGGCCGAGGCCTGTGAACGAGGCCAAGGCTCTTTGACCGCCCCCTCCCCACACCCGTTGTCCTAGGTGCGCACGGCCCTGGCCCGCGGAGACATGGTGTCGGCCGAGATCGCTTCGCGCGAGGCCCGGAATTTCTCCTTCATCTCCCTGGCCGTAGGCATTGCGGCCATGGTGCTCTGTACCATCCTCACCGTAGTCATCATCATCGCCGCGCAGCACCACGAGAACTACTGGGATCCCTAGAAACGCACCCAGCCGGGCTCCGCGCTGCGCCCCGCGACCTCCCGGCTGCGTTCTGCAGTCAGGCCGCAGACCCAGGGGACGCCCTACACACCTGCCTCGGGGGCCGCCGGACTTCGTTGCATCCTAAGCTCCGCCTCCACGGGACCTCTCGCCCTGCGAGCGCGCTGCGAGTCCAGTTCCTCAGGAACCCCTGCAGAGCCCACACCCCTAGAGACGCCGTTTCCCCGGCGCTCCCTGAAATGCCGGGCCCCGGGTCGCCCCAGGTCCCCGCCCGCTCAAAGTGCAGCGCCCCCAGCGGAGCTCCCTCGGTCTGCGCCCCCCCAGCCTGGAGTCTGGTTCCCAAAGCCCGGGGTCCTCTGCAGGCTCCACTCCAGCCCTGACAAAACCCCGCCTCCAGGTCGGCAGGCTCCGCCCTCTTTTCTTCTCCGAGGGGTGATGCAGTCCGGTGACCCGGTCTGTGGCTGCCGGCCTCGCTCGCTGACAGACAGACTCTACCCCTTCTCCCGGCGAGGGGACTGAGCCCCGGGCTAGCCGCGCCCCAACGCTCACCCCCGTTTTGGCTAGCACGGTTTAGTCCCTCATCCGCCGGCCTCTGCCCTTTTTCTTGCTAATCCCGACATCTCTTATTTTGAATGAGATTTGAGAGGTTTCCGGTGGAAGACCCTTCACCCTGGGATAAGAAATGTAAATAGTCCCCACCACCCGTCCCACAGCCAGCCCTAGGCAGCCGGCAAAGGGAACCCAGGCCGCGGCCCTCCCAGCCCCGCTCGCTCGGCGGCCCCCGCCTTGTTCTGATCTGTGTGCACATCTGTGTGTGAACTTCTGAACGACGATATTAAAGAGACATGGTGGATTTAGCACCGCAATTCCAAAGCCCGCGGTCCCCGGAGAGACCCTGCCCTTCACCTCTCCCAAAGAGAGACAGAAGTGGGAGCCCACAGAGCTGCGGACCAGGGAGGGGGTCCTTGGGAGCCCACCAGGGCCTCACGGTGGGGGGGGGGGGTCCCTGGGAGCCCACCAGGGCCTCACCAGGGCCTCGCCCCTTTGCCTCTCCCTGCTGGATGTGGGCATGGGGATTTGGAGAAGGGACATGTATAAGGAGATGCAGAGATTTCTCAGATCTGCAGGAAGTGAGGGAAGGGGGCAGACCACTGTGGGGAAGCTGTCTAGGAAAGGGTGGGAGAGGAAAGGGGAAGAAACCAACCTGCGGCAGCTGTCCCTGACTGTGGGCTGCCGGGTGGAGGTGACATGGTTTAGGGGCACATGGCGCCCTGTAGGGGATAGAGGGACAGGGACAAGAACCGAGCTGTGGGAGCTGGGCGGGTTGAAGCTTCTTAGCTTCCTGGGGTCTTGGTGAGGGGTGGCAGAGCTGTGGGCCTGGAGTCTTTGGTTGTATTCCTACCCTGACTCTGTGCATTCTTACCCCGCGATGTCTCACTGTGCAGGCTGCTGGTGAGACATCTGCCCAGGGGCAGCTGTGACCCCTGACCCCACCGGGCTTCCTATTCTGAGAGCAGCCTTGGGAGGACGAGGGCTGTGCTGGGGGTGTCACCAGTTCTCCTTGGACGTTTTCAGCTTCACTGCGCCAAATGTCTTGAAAAAAACAATCTACATTTGCAGCTTGTACTTCCTCACCCAAATCACCATATACAGTTTTCTTAAGTAGGGGAGTATTGCTGTTGGGAATGTGTCTGTGTCTTTCTTTCATATCCCCTGTTTCTTGACTTCTTTTTTTTTTTTTTAAGATTTTTATTTTATTCATTTGACAGGTAGAGTTGTAGACAGAGAGAGAGAGAGAGAGACAGGTCTTCCTTCCGTTGGTTTACTCCCCAAATGGCCAGGAGCCAGGTGCTTCCTCCTGGTCTCCCAGGCAGGTGCAGGGCCCAAGCAGTTGGGCCATCCTCCACTGCCTTCCCGGGCCACAGCAGAGAGCTGGACTGGAAGAGGAGCCACCAGGACTAGAACCCGGCACCCATATGGGATGCCAGTGCCACAGGCGGTGGATTAACTTCTTTTTTTTTGTAAGATTTTTTATTTGAAAGTCATAGTTACACGGGGGGGGGGGGGCGGTGAGAGAGAGAGTCTTCCATCCACTGGTTCACTCTCCAATTAGCCGCAATGGCTGGAGCTGTGCCGATCTGAAGCCAGGAGCCAGGAGCTTCCTCTGGGTTTCCCACGTGGGTGCAGAGGCCAAAGGACTTGGACCATCTTCTACTGCATTCTCAGGCTATAGCAGAGATCTGGATTGGAAGTGGAGCAGCCAGGTCTGGAACCGGTGCCCGTATGAGATGCTGGCACTTCAGGCCAAGGCGTTAGTTAACCCACTGCACCACAGCACTGGCCTCTTGACTTTTAAAATATGATTTCACTCTCCTGAAAAGCACTCTCAAATGCACCCGATGACCAGAGGTTACCCAGAGCCAAGACCAGTGGCATTTTCATAATACTCTCTCTTAACCCTGGAATCCTCACCTGCTAGGTTCAGAGACATATCTTCTCCTCTGCCCCCATACAAACACACCACTTATCTCCCTCCTCTGCTATCCCCTTTTACTTTGTTTCCCTGAGTATCTATCTCTGGACTCTGGACAGTTCCCTTCTCTGAGTCTTTCTCTTGCAAATGTCGTCCACTTGAACTCGGCCATCATCCCTAACCCACTGCTTCCCCAGCCTATGATTTGCATTCAGACATCCATCCAGTGCCTGCGGAACACAGCCACGTGGACCATGCTGCTGATCCTCTAAACTCAGCCTGTTCCACCCAAATGGATAAAACGCCCCCTGAAGATCTGTGTCTGCTTCTCCTTATCCCCATTGTCCCAGGCACCCTTTCCAACCTGAGAGTTTGATGCCACCTCCATCTTGCTCCTGTCTGACTGCCAGTGCCCTATCAAGTCAGCTCATTCCTACAAGCACATGGTCTTTCAATCTGTAAGTTTTCCTCAGCCCTTGCCAGAAAAAGACCTCATCTAGGGTTATGGCAACAGCCTCCCCAAGAGCGTCCACCCTCTTCCTTCTCCAAGTCTCCCACAACACTGCTGTCAGATCACCCTCCCTAAAACATTCAACATTCCGTATTGCTTACTCTGCTGTTTACAAGATTTCAATCTGGCCTTCAATCTCTTCCATAGCTTGAAATTATCCAGCGTTCTCTCTTCAACCTTATTTCTAACACAACTGAATTATTCCTTAGTCTCATCCCCAGGTTTCAGCTGTGACAAATATTAGCCCTGCTTCCCCAGTCTCCTCATATTAGAAACCAGATGGTTTGCAGTCTGTCATGAGTTTCAGGCCACTTTTAGGCTTTCAACCACCTCCAGGCTTTTCCTACCATGTCCTCCCTCACCCTTCACATCTGCCTCTCTGACTGATTGAATTTTACCTAGCTTTCAAAGCCCTCATTAATTCACCCCTTGCTTCAGCAGGAAGGGCTCGCTCTGTCCTCTGGGTTGGATCAGAGCAGTGGGTTTCTAAAACAGAGACCCAGGCACTCCTTGGAGCAATGGTTCTCATTCCTGGCTTTGAATTAGAATTGTCTGGGGGAACATTTAAAAGTCCCAAAGCCCAGATCACATCCTAGGCCAATTAAATTGGAATCTCTCGGGGTGGGACTCACACATCCCAAGGTGATTCCAAAGGGCAACCAAGGGTAGAAAGCATAGGCTTAGAGGACTTCCCAGGGCGAGAGGGGAGATTGAAAGGGGCTTCAACCAGGGCACACATCTTCAGGAGAACAGCATCTCCTTTGTTCCCTTTATCTGCATCCCCCCTCTTGATCGATTCATGCATATTACCCTGTGAGCTGTTTGAGGCAGGGGTCAAATCTGGCTTATCTCCATATCAGATAAAAATCTTTGAACTCAATTGAAAGGAATTTGGCAGAGGGAGAAATGATTCCTTATCCTCACCGAACTCCCTCTGCAGAGGCGCCATTGGCTTCTGCACCCACAGTGGCTCTTACCCCTCTGGTGTAGGGCCTCCATCCAACAGAAGATGCTCTGGTCACCTTTAACATCTACCTGGCTGCTCTGGTTCCCCGTGATCAATTCTGGGGCACTGCCTTTCACTTCCACTCTGTCATTCCATGATTTTTGATGCCTTCAATATCCACACTGAACACGCAGTACCCCGCTCAATGCCTGCCTTTCCTGGCCCCCAATCATCTCTTTCTCCCTGCTTCCCAGCCACTCTCTCTCTCCCTGTGTCATACTCTCAACTTGGTTACCACCCGTGACTGCCACCCCTGCAGGGTCCACCCCCCAGTCTTTTCATGTCACCCCGCCCCCAGCCTCCCCACTTTAAAAGTTCTTCACCCCCACCTGGACCTCCCATCTTTGATTCTCTCACTTCTCGCTGTTGTTGGATCCTTCAGTTTTTCTCACTTTCCTCGTGACCAGGTTTAGGTTCTGATGTTTCAACACTGCACTTGCTTCTCGGTCCTCACCCCATAGTCTTGGGCCCTCTCCTTCCAATACGTTTTACCCATGGTTAAACCTACTCTGTGTGATCCATTCTTGCACCCAGTAGCAGGGCTTGTCTGGGGGAAAATGCACAGTCATAGTGACAGGTCTCGCTTCCTGTGGGCCCTTGATGTGGCCTGGCAGCCCACATTTCCCTAACCAGTTCACGGTCCCCAGACGAGACCACAGCTTTACAAGATGAGAGTCCTTCTTCCCATTTTAGCGATAGAGTAGAAACTTTCAGAAGAGAACTTGCCTGTGGTCTCAGCACAAATCCACCAGCCTACATGCAAAGGGGTGACCTGCCTCCAGCCTCTACCTCCTTTGTACTTTGGGATCTGGTTCCTTCTCACCTGCTCAGGGGTGTGAATCTGAAACTTTCTGATTATGTGGAAGAGACACAATTGGTTTCTCCTTCCTCACTGAAACCTCTCATCAGCACACAAATACAGTGTAATAATGTATTTTGTCTTTGAAAAGAAAGAAGAAAAGCATTTGCTATTTACCTGTGTAGTAAAAGTACAACATTCAGAGAAGTGTTTATCCCTTGCCAGAAAGGGAATTTTTAGGCCGGCGCCGCGGCTCACTAGGCTAATCCTCCGCCTAGCGGCGCCGGCACACCGGGTTCTAGTCCCGGTCGGGGCGCCGGATTCTGTCCCGGTTGCCCCTCTTCCAGGCCAGCCCTCTGCTGTGGCCAGGGAGTGCAGTGGAGGATGGCCCAGGTGCTTGGGCCCTGCACCCCATGGGAGACCAGGAAAAGCACCTGGCTCCTGGCTCCTGCCATCGGATCGGCGCGGTGCGCCGGCCGCAGCGCGCGGGCCGCGGCGGCCATTGGAGGGTGAACCAGCGGCAA